GGGCGCCACTTTTGTAGATTGCGCCACGGGGTTTCACGCGTGTCGCGTTTCAGATAATGAATAAGCCTCCTACTCAAGAAAAGTTAACGCGAATCGCTATCGTCAGTGCAGACAAATGTAAACCAAAAAAGTGTCGGCAAGAGTGTAAGAAGTCGTGTCCTGTAAACAGGATGGGTATGCTATCACGGCCACGTGGTCAAAAGTAATTGTCAACTTTAGGACGCATGTGCATTGAGGTGACGCCAAATGACAAAATTGCCTTTATATCAGAAGAGCTGTGTATCGGGTGCGGTATTTGTGTCAAAAAATGTCCTTTTGAAGCAATTGCGATCATTAATTTGCCCAGTAACCTCGAAAAAGAAGTTACTCATCGCTACGGGCCCAATGCCTTCAAGCTTCATCGTTTGCCTATGCCTCGTCCGGGAGAAGTGCTTGGTCTTGTTGGGACTAATGGTATCGGAAAATCTACAGCTTTGAAGATTCTCGCCGGAAAACTGAAACCGAACCTTGGCCGTTTCAAAGTATGTCCAGGACGGTGTTCGTTTAAAAATTTACTTGCTTTTCGTGGTTTTCCGTAAGTTCATCTAGTGTTTTAATAGTGGAAACGATCCTCTGAACATTAGCTAATACTTATCTTGAAAATAAACATTGACAATGAAATTCCTGGCTCAAAATTCCCAAGTCAAGTCCATACAAGCTTCACTTTTTAGAAGTTCTGCGATTGGATGGCCTCCGTTGCTTTTTGTTTTTACGGCCCTTTTGAGTTTTCTCTCCTCAGGCTCTAAATCTAGAGTGCTTTGCTGGTGAATGTTGATTATATTCAGCTTTTTTCATAACACGTCTTAGTGCAATGACTAGCAGACGGGGCGAACCCATAGTCACGAGAACCTACTGTTCAGTTATGGAAACCGGGAACCTAAGCCTTGTGAACTTGGAGTGACGAACCACTTAAGGTCTCACTAGGTTGGGCGTGGTATTGAACCGGACGACAGCAAAGGTGCATACTAGTAGAGCAACTATCGGGGACTTACACATGCCCCGTATAGGTGTACTAAACGCGATTGCCAGAGTAAATTTAAGGATATTCAGGCCATGATTCACCGGAAAGGTATTATGCCAAGTCGGGCTAGTTTTCGATTGACTCACTCAGCATGATCGAGTACCATGGAGGGCACAACCAAGAGTTCTGAGTGGTAGCGTTCTTGCACTGAGCATTTGGTTTGAATTGTTTCAGCAAATACTAAACCGTCATAGTTTGAATTGTGTCAGGATCAGCGGCCGCGGTGGGACCCATGGATGGACTTTTGAACAACCCACGCTCTACCAACTAATTTCCGAGACCAACCAGATCACTTGGTCCATCCCACCAACATGCCGAGGCATATGCAATCCACTGATTAGCACTTTAGCTGCCTGCCGTGTTGATTTTTCCTGGGAATCTACCAAATATGAGTTCGAAGCCCGGAGAGATTACCAATCTTCCACAGATTCAATCACAATTGTTATCTTCGTTTATCTCTCAAGCAACATTTGAACTACCGACAGTCTTAGACTTTATTCAGCAGATTCTAGGGTCAATTTACCAGAAAAGACTACTCGTTGAATTTTGTCTTTAATTCAATGGGAGTTAATCGAATGTGAAAAGATCCATGCTGCCGGTATGGCCTCGCGGCTCTGCGGACGGAGCCTGTGCTGTACAAAGTATGGATGGAGTCCATGTTTACGTTCCAATCTCACCCAGGCTGTTGATCTTTCTGTATAATTCGTGGTTCAATAATCCATTTGATGGACTTATTCATAATGTAATTTCAGTTACGGTTTTCCAGTCTTACAAAAAGCTTAAGCATCCACTTTCATGTTGGTGCTAGTCAGACTGCATTACTTTGCTTTTTATTACACGATGCTGAATAGAGTTATATATATATATATATCATACTGCAACGTAGGGACAAACACTGTGCCAACTTAAATTAGATCAATAATAAGGACCACTGAGTACAAACAGCGAAACGAAGGGAACTAGTTTACAATGAACTGGGTCAAGAACAGCGCTTGTTTCATCGTTCAGTTTCTCTACCTTTATCCATTGTTTTTTATGGGACAGGGGATTTCAACGGGCAAATCGTAAAACCTGAGCTTAACTGTTTTCTATTCTGAGCCATATCTTGGTGTCACTAGCCAATTGTAATACGGGTTCCTCGAACCTCCACTGGCAAGGCGTAAAACACCAGTCGAAGCAAGTGCCGAAGCTATTTCGTTTTTATTACACCTTTTTTGTGGTAAACAGACGAGGTAAACCTCGGAGCCACAGGGGCCTGCTGTGCTCTCATCCAAACCGGCAACCCAAGCTCCCATAACTTGATGTGATGAACCACATAGCCTCTGGGTTAGACGTGGTGTTGAGTCGGTGACAGGCTGTCTACCGCTTCCGTGAAAGTTCTTCCAGTCTTGTTCTGCGCATGGGTGTAGAGTACGAAGAAAAAGACGATCGACGTAAACGCAAAAATTGGCCGCAATATCGCAGGCAGAGTGAAGCGATTTCCGTTTTAATTTAAAATGACGGTGATTTTGGTAATTGTCTACCCGATGTTCCCACCAGGCACAAGGAATGCGGTGGAGCCATCGATGGTCAACTAGAAAACAATCGATTAGCGACATTAATGCGGAGGGATCGGGTCTTGCAAGTGTAAAGCAGAACACTACGAGTGGCGGCAGCTTACATCCCCTTGAAGGAGAGTTGAACGTCATGATGGTCCCATGTGTCGTATGTTGGCTGTTGCGGTTATGTGATTAGGTCCCCCTTCAAATCACCTCCAACCGTGATTAAGCTCTCGACATACATGAAGCTTGTAAGCATTTCTAGCTGATCATCACAAAGGTCGAATACGGCGCGGGATCTTGTCCATATTTTATGAGTACTTAAAACTTTGGTGCGTAACATCTGGGTCTTTCGATCGCCAATCGCTTCCATATCCATTAGACCGCCTGTGTATTGTCACTCAAGAAGGTGATGTCATCGAAATATTCTGGATCAAACGGGTTTCTCCTAACGAATTCAACTCCATTGTCTCCTAGAACCGACAACTCTCTAAAGCATCTTCGATGGTAAAGTATAAAAGAAGTAAGGCGGCTTCGTCGCGCTTTACTGGAAACGGCAAAAAGATGGTAATGACTGCAGTTACCATAACCCGACCTGAATTGTGACGGCACAACTCTCCGAAGATCGGCAATTCTCGGGCATTTCATTGATCAGAAAAAAGTTTCATAATGCAGTCTACTGACAACGTGGTTGTCAAAGAACAATTACCATTGGATTATGGAAAGTATGATGATGCTTTGGCAACAGTCAGAGAGCGACGATTTGATCGATGCATCCACGATTGGTGCGAAAACTAGCATGTTCTTTGTTTGTATTGTGTACCCTGTGAAGAATGACGGGCGCTTTGACGTTATCGGAATGAGGTTAATGTCCCCGCGGCTGATGAAGCCATTGCGCTAGCTCTTCTTAAATGTAACAACATGAGAGCGGGGCTTTCTCAGTTTGCCAGAACATTGCAAACGTGATTTACAGTCATCTAACAATCTTTATTCTAAAATATTGAAATAGCTGAGAGAAGGTCATCATATCCCAATGCTTTACGAAGCTCCAAGACTTGAATTTGATTGCGGTTACGCTCCTCAGAGGAAGCGTCTGTCGAAACCGACTGTGGAATGTGTGCCGGAATGACTGAGAAGCTGGCACCAAGGATAAATTGTTCCTTAAAGTGCTCCATCAAACATGTAGGTGAACCGTCGAATTCACAAATCTCTTCGCTTTCATCTGGTATTTTCACCACCGTGCGTATGTAACGCCCACCGAAACACAGAGACAGCTTAGCATAAGTTACTGCATAATCTGATTGCGGGGTGTGCTGCTGTACAATTGGCAATCGTGTGATGTTGTCTATCTGGGACTTGAAGAGAGCGGACACCAATTAGCGTACCGGCTATTTGGGGCATCTGAATTTGGCACTGGTGAACCACTGAAATCGATCGCAAAAAGGTTTCACAAATACGTTCAGTTCGAAGACAGCCCACCTACTCCCACATTCATATCCTGATAAATTCATATCAGCCTGGCTCGGATAATAACTCTTGTAATTTGTGGTAGAGGTAACGTTTAACTGCAGCTGGGCTGCAGTCAGTGAGTGCGTGTACGCTGAGATGCGGAACAAATCCGGCCAATCGGGGCGACGTCTAATTCTCTCTGTATTCTACAGGTCAGTTCAGTAGCACGGCTTTTTCATGGCGAGTCACGCTGACACCACAGGACTAGAGGCAGCAGCCTCAGGTCTTCCAAACAAATATCCCGAAGTGATTGGATGCAGACATTAAAAGAATTACGAATTACGAGGGAATAACGAGTCTCTTGAGAATACAACACACATTGATGATCGGGGTCTCGAGCGTATGAACTAAATGTGCCCGGTGTCTTGTACGCACCGGGGTATGCACTTAAAATGTGTCTATTTTGAAAGCATCGAGGGTGAATAAACAATTCAACTGGTGAGGGAGGTTTCGAGGAGACTTGTATGTTATTCGTCACAAGAGGCTATGTTATTTTCATCCAAACTTGTGTTGAGATAATCGACAAAAGTCTCCAATACAACGGTGTATCAGAGGAGTGAGGAAGCAGAAGGGTGCATGTGGTGTAGGATTTTTCACAATTATAGATTAAGGCATAGTACACTAATTTGATGATGGAAGAAAGTTTATAATTGTTTGCCTCGCCTGGTCCATAGTCAGGATATTCCATTAACGATGGATTCTTTTTTGCATAACCAAAGATGAATTGGGGAGTAGATTATATGTCGAATGCTTTTGAAAGGTTTCAAACGATTTGAAACTGGTATTTTATTCACGGTCGGAGCCTGTGGCTATCCAATTTATTGGGAGCCGGTGTTCAATCTATCATATACAACAGTGGTTTAGCCGCTGTCACCGACATGCTTTGGATCCTATAGTCCGAAGTTCGAACCCCGCCACCGTCACCCAACTTCGGTGGTAAGCAGCTTTACTTTCTTCCGGTTTAAAACTACGTCTGGCAAAGCGAGCCTTATGGGGTTCGCCACTCCAAGTCCCGCGGGGCTTACGTAACTGGTTTCCATCAATACAAAGCAGGTCCACGCGACCATGGGGTTCATTCCGTCTGCTGTTCATCGCACAAAATGTGTGTAATATAAAAACACCCGACGATGCTGCGGCCTATGGAGGCGTTTTTTTTAGTTCTCTGATTTATTATAAAAGAAATAACGATCAAATTAGACTAACTTTACGCACGTTTATTGATTGTTTCGGCTGTTTGTGACGCATCAATCAACCGTCACGTTGGAATTGTAAAACTGAAACGGTTTCGATGAGACTTTCGATCGATCACGACTGCAATTGCTAGTGGCAACACCTATTATAGTACCAAGTAAAAGAGCGGTTTGAGCAGTGGAGGAGGAAGTTGGACAAGTTCGTGATCATAAGCCATTGGCTGATTGGACGCACATGGTCGCTTTTGATCAGCTTTGATGTAGACAGTCTTTTATCGTACCGTTGTTTGAGATGACAACACAAGGGGTAGATCTGGTAATCAAGACAACATACTGCTCACTCATGATAACGAGCAATCTAGAGCGAACTATATAGGATCTCACAAAGACAATCGCGGTTTCCAGCCAATTTGTATATAATCAAAGTTCGTTTGTGGTAGCAGAGTGCAATTCGAAGCCTTAGAACCAAAAGCACACTAGTGCTAGGGATCCCAAGCTGCTTGACAGTATTGTATTGATAAGCACGTGACACAGCTTTCATTTCCGCTAACATGTCCGTATTTTGCCTTGTTTGGCACGGTTTGAACCCAAATCAGTGTGAAATACTGGAAGAATGAAAGCTATGAACCGGTCAGCAATAATGTAACCCACTTAACGAATTGTACTGCTTAAAGCTTACAGATAATTGTGGCTTCTCTGTACCAAGCAATGTAGTTAGGGTAAACCATCACTTCATTTGCGAAAGATAGTAAGTTTTGGACATTGAATGTCACAAACCAAGGATGTTTTCTTCCGTATTTATTTGCATTAGTTTCGAGCACTATTCTTGCCATTCTCGGCTGAACAATGTTGCCTCTTTTGTGCTTTTTTTCAGAGCCCTCCAGATTGGACTGAAATTCTGACGTACTTTCGCGGATCCGAGTTGCAAAACTATTTCACAAAAGTCCTCGAAGATAATTTAAAAGCAGTTATCAAACCGCAATACGTGGATCAAATCCCGAAAATTGTGTCCGGTCAAGTAAAGTCACTGTTGGATCGAAAAGATGATCGTGGCAATCAAGATCTTATTTTGGACGTTCTCGGTAAAGTTGTATTCAAATTGTTCTACTCTCCGCGGGTGATATAGATCTGAAAGTGGTAACCGAACGAATGGTTGGTGATTTGTCCGGAGGGGAATTGCAGCGATTTGCTTGCGCAATGGTTTGTGTCCAAAAGGCTGATATTTACATGTTTGACGAGCCCAGTTCCTATTTGGACGTCAAACAGCGTCTGAAGACTGCCGTCGCGATTCGCGAACTGTTGAGTGTAGGTTTGAATTTGTCAGTCCTTCAACGATTCTCGTCATTTCATACAGGATACAAATTTTGTCATCGTGGTCGAACACGACCTGTCCGTGTTGGACTACCTGTCCGATTTCATTTGCTGCCTGTACGGTGTCCCCGGAGCTTACGGTGTGGTAACTATGCCGTTCTCCGTTCGCGAAGGTATCAATATCTTTCTGGATGGTATGATTCCGACTGAAAATTTGCGTTTCCGCGATACACCTTTGGTGTTTAAGGTGAGCATCGCTTTTTTCACGTGGTTTCAGTAATATTTGTCTCATTTCACTTTAAATGATATTCAAAAAGTTTGATAATCTCGTATTTACATGATAATCCGGTCACAATCTTTCCTATTGTCAATTTAGATGAGAGAAGAGCCTTTAAGTTATGCTTTTCTCTGCTGTCTTTTTATCATTATATAATTGCTTATATATTTTTATGTTCACACATGTTTGAATCCAGGCTGTATGTCAAACAAATCATGGTACAATTATCTTTATGAAACAAAAAAGACGTTCCATGATTTGAATATGGGCTGACTACTGCCAGGTTGCCCAGGCCAAGGCAGATGAATTTTCTTGAGGAATCCACAACCGGAGCCTTCAGTTAGCCAAAGCCTGACCCACAAGGCAGCGGTGCAGTGTGCGAAAACCGCCATCCATTGGAGACCGGTGTCCAGTTGATCGGATCACGCCTTTTTTATTACACACCAATGTGTGATAAACAGCAGTCGGGGCGAATCCCATAGTCACGAAGATATGGTGTTCAGAGATGGTAACGAGCAACCTAAGCCTCCAAAGTCAAACCTATATGTATATTTAACACGTACTCAATTACATAGAATTGGCAAATGTGCCACAGCGTATGAAGAAAGAGGTGTGAAAAGGGTTAAAATTTAAATCAACGAATAAGAATCTCGCAACATTTGCGCCATTGACACCGGTTACCAGCCATGTCTGCAAGTGTATCAAGCCATAGATTTTCTCTGTCCTTGCCCCCCCCCCAACCTGGGAGTCTAGAGTGCCCTACCACTGCCACTTTTGGGGTTAGCATCTTCATTGTTCGAGCCCAGGTTATTCGCTGTCCACCGTGTCGCCGCTTTCAGTTAGTGTCTGCTTGCGCAAACATAATACGATACATCCGCAACACATGTCCTAGCCATCGAAGTCTCTGGAGCGGGGTGACGGCACTCAGAGGACGACTGAGATTGTCTGCAATGAAGATTCTTCGGCGAACCTCGTCGTTGGTGATTCGCTGTTGCCAACGTATTCTAGCGATGCAACGAAGGCAACGGTGGTCAAAGACACTTAATCTCCGTACGTCTTCTGCGTGGAGGGGCCAACTCTCACAGCCGTAGAGTAGAACAGAGCGTACTGTTGCATTGTAAACGCGATCTTTCAAAAAGAGACAGATCGCGTCGGCGCCACAAATGACGTAGGTTAGCGAAGGCCACTCGAGCCTTGCGGATACGCGCTGATATTTCTTCCGTTAGTCCTCTTGAGCTAAAACAATTCCCGAGATAAGTGAAGTGATCGACAATTTCCAACTGGTCGTTCATCCGCGTGAGGGCAAGTGTAGCCTCTTACCAGTCTTTTAGTAACACCTTACATTTAGATGAAGAAAATGTCATACCAAACTGCGTGACGGACAATGCTAACTTACACAGAACGTTTTGAGTATCCTAGGAGGAGTCGAAGAGTAAAACGATGTCGTCAGCATATTCCAAGTCACAGAGTCGATCACCCGGGAGGAGCTCCACACCGGAAGCGCTGCTTAGGATTTTGTCTATTGCGAAATTAAAGAGGAACTCCGCTTGTGATCGTAAATGACGGGGAGATGCGATCATAGACCTTGATGCGGCCTGATGTGTTTGAGTAGACGGCTTTTAGAAGGTTTGTATACTTCTCAGGCACACCGGTCCCAGACAGACAAGTCCAAAGAGCTGCTGTGTCAACTGAGTCAAACGCAGCACGTGTGTCCAGAAACAATGATGGTCGGTCTACTGAACGTTTGACGTTGCTCGAGGATCTGGCGTAGCGTAAATATGTGATCAACGCAGCTCCGGCCAGGACGAAGTTCAGCTTGTTCTTCGCGAATTTGACGCTCTCTTGTCCAACTGAGCCTGCGAAGGATCAGCGACGTTAACAGCTTGGATGCAACAGAGATGAGACTGATCCCTCGGTGACTGGAGCAATCGTGGCGGGAGCCCTTCTTAAAAACAGGTACGACGTCCGCCAAACTCCATTCGGATGGAATGGATTCAGTATTCCAGATGGTTTGGAATCAGAAAGTTAGTTCGCGAACAAAGCTTGCACCACCGTCTTTGAAGAGGGCGGGAGGGAGTTCATCTGGACCGGGCGATTTGTGGCGTTTCAGAAGTCTGATCTCACGGGAGACTTCTTCCTCGGTAGACGATGAAATGTCCACAGACCATGGGGCACTACAGACATCGGGAGATGGAGGTGATGGTGTCAATGGCCAACTGAATTGTTGATGAAAGTGCTCCGCCCAAGCCGACGTTGTAGATTGGGGATACATTCGCCATTAATTTCGCATATGGTTTCACTGACGCATGGTTTTTTGCTATCAGTGGCTCGGATTAGTCGAAAAAGCTTGTGAGCATTACCGGAAGCAGAGGCTAGTTCCATCTTGGAAGCGCGTTGTTCCCACCAGGTCTCTCGATCCTTTTTTAGGAACCGTTTCAGTTCAGCACGGAGAGTCCTGCGAACTGTGTTGTATTCATTGCCTGGAGGGATGCTTCAACGAGTGTCGAGGAGTTGGAGAGAACGTGCCGAAACCCAGTGATTGACTGTGCGTTTGAAGCCACATGCTGTGGTGGCGGACTTATGCATGGCGCTACGGATGCGAGTCCATTGTCAACGTTCGAGGATGGCAGACTGTCTAGATCAGCAGCTGACGTGTTTTGGTAGGCGGTAACTACGTTTGGCTTGGTCAGTTTCATCAAATCGAGTCTTGTCAGGTGACGTTGCTGTTTTCCGCCAAAGCGCAGAGAGAATTTTGCGCACACGAGTGCATGATCAGAGCTGTGATATGTGCTCCAGATGGATTGACAGTCCGTTATGCAATTTCTCCATCGACAGCTGACGGCAATCTGATCTATTTGATTCCAGAGCTGATCAGACGATGGTCGCCAGGTAGCACATTTGCACCATGGTTGGGGAATATTGGTGCTCAAAAGGAAGAGACCATGTTTAGCGCAGATATGAAGAAGACGGTCGACGTTGTCACTTCTCCTAATACCGAGAATATCCTGGCCACCAAATGAGGTTTCGTCAGCGTCTAACCTACCTACTTGTGCGTTCAATTCGCCGGCTAGTGGGTCGTCTACTGTGGAGGAAGTTGATCAGCTGATGGTAGAACTCGTTTTTTGTGTCGGGATTGCAGTCCGTCGGCGTATAAGCCACGATAACAAACAGAGGGAGCTTTTTTGCCCCATTACGAGAGGCACTCACCGATCCTTTTAGACGTCTTTTATATATATATATATAACATCTGGGTTCAGACAGTGGGCCAAACAAATCACAATACAATATTTTTTATGAAAGGAAGTTCCATAATTTGTTTGTGGATACAATACTGACCAGTTACCTTGACCAAAGTAGGTGGACTTTCTTTGAAGAATTCACAACCAGGAATAAAGC